GCCTGGTGATCTATTTCCAAAAAATCAGCCATTGAAAACCCTATGAGGCACAGTTCTACTCTGACACACACGGGGTCGCTGTGAGTCCGGATAGACTCGACGGCAACTGGTTTTATTATCCTAATGGGGGAAAAACAGCTTTAAAGTAAACAGCACCTGAACCCATTCCTAAATGTTTTTCTGCTCTCAAAGTCTGTCAGCGAGACGAGCTGGTGTCAGAAGAAATTTAGGCATTTTTTAAAGTTATTGACCAACTTCTCTATTTCTGAGTAATAAAATGGGACTTTTAAAACTGGAAATAGCTTTTCACGTTTTCAAATTCAGGTTTCATTTTAGTTGTAGATGTATGACTACTCTTTGCTATGTTAAGTAAAATTATTTGACTCAGAATACAGAAATGAACACCATATGGGAAGACGGTGTCACTGGAAAAGTAACCTGTTGGAATGGTTTCCTTCCCAAGTTTTCCTGAACATCTGTTTACGTGTTGGATGACCTCAGGAAGGCCAAGAAACTAGTCAGAAGACTTTGGGAGGAGTGGCTGATTTCCTGCTATTACCATGGGACTTTGGCTTTAATTTGATCCACTGGTAACTCCGTGGTTGGAGCCCTGGTGGCGCCGTGGTGAAGAGCTCGCCTGCTAAGCAAAAGGCCCGCAGTTCAAATCCACCAGCCGCACCTCGGAAACCCCATGGGGCAGTTCTCCTCTAGCCTACAAGGTCACTGGGTCGGAATCACCTCAACAGCAACGGTTTTTGTTTAACTCCATGGTAATGACAGATTGAGCAGCAGACATGCATTTTATTAGTAGCATACATTCATTTTGTGTAAAATGTGTAAAGATTCAGGCAATTAAGTGTTATCAGATCCACACTGTTTTCAAAGCAGGCTTGGTAACGCTCCGTCCAGGCAGAGTCCAAGCCTGCGGTGCGGTTTCCATCTGTGAATCTTCCACAGTTTTCCTTCGGTGATTGAAATATTGTCTGCGTGCATTTTATCCCGCGGGGAGGTTTTAAAGTGGTGTTGTGATAGGAGTCTTTATTCACACGCTTAATCTGACAGAATAATAGGGGGGGATCACCATTACCTCCCAAATGGTGGATGGTTATTGTTAATCATTTCTGTGAAATATGAACATCAAATTTGAAAATAACACGTAAGTAAAATATGTGAACAGTTCTAAATACATACATTTTTGCTTATTTGTCTTTTCAAATCAACCAGCTTATCTTACATACTAAATTTAGTAACCTCAAGATGAAGTGTAATTGTGTAGTTTAGAGATAAGCCTTGTTGGTCCTAAACTGATA